TAAGTGGAGAGAAAATGTTTTGAGAATGATGTACAAATGCGCTTTACACAATTGATGTGTGTATGGATTGTGATAAGAGTTGTATGAGCCCCTAATGATTAAAAAATAAAATAATAACAATACCATTTGATGAGCTGCGTGCAGGAACTTTAAGGAGCAGCCCGGCGGCAGAGAGTTTCACACTTTGGGCGACTAACCTCACAGTCGGTGTGTTAAATCCACCAGCTGCTCCACAGGAGGAAACCGAGGTTTTCTGCTCCTCTAAAGACTGACAACCTCCCAGACCCAAAGAGGCAGTTCTGCTCTGTCCTGTAAGGCCCAACCGCTGTGCGTCAACTCGGAGGCAGTGGGTGCACAGAAGCCTTGCACGGGATAAGAAAACAAGTGCCGACATGGAGAAATGTAATTCTAGCCCTATGCTAGGAAGCCTGGAACCTTAGAGAGCCTGTCCAGCATTAAGTGGGACTGCCGTACAAGCCAGGCTCTGTATTTGAAACTCTGAGCTATGTCAGCCCCACCGTTCTTGAGACCGCTTCTTTAGGACCGGGGGCTCTGGCAGCCGCTGGCCCTCCTCCTCTCCCTCCACTTGCTTGTGAGGCTTCAGCAGGTTCCTCCATACCCCCAGCTCACAAAGGCCTCTCTGTCCCAGGGACTTCTTGGCAAAGATCACAAGTTCTGTTCAGTTGCCTTTTCACATTGCATGTGCAAGTTGACTAGAAAAGACCTTTTCTTCAGCTCTCTCTCTCTCTCTCTCTCTCTCTCTCTCTCTCTCTCTCTCTCTCAAAGGAGGACCGTCTCTGCTGGGAACTCCTCTAGGTTGGCAGGTCTGGTTCTCTGCCCTTAAGCTGGGCCAAGGCTGCCTAAGTGTCGGTGTCTTTTGCATACATCTGTTCGCCAATGGTTCCTACTTTCCAGTTTCCCCTTGCTGCTCCCACCTGCTTTAGCATGACAGCTGAGGCTGCCGACACGAATCCGGTGAATCCTGTTGCTGGTGTTGCTAAGGGCCCCCAAGCTGGCTGCCGCTACCAGGGTCCCCACCTACGACAAAACACTGACAGGTCCTGCACCGTGTCCACGACTGTTCGTGGTGCGAGCCCACTGTTGCAGCACGGTGTCCGTCCATCTTGTCAGAGGCCTCCTCTTTGTCACTGCCCGTCCCCTTGACCGAGCGTGATGTCCCTCTCTAGGGCCTGGTCCAGAGCACATGAGCAGGTTCACCCCGTGCAGTGCTTCATCTGAGCTCTTGACTGCTGCTTGCGCGAGCACTGATTATGGATCCAAGCAACACGCATCCTGACAACTTCCATCTTCTGTCGGATTGTCATGCTGTTACCTGTTGGCCATGTGTTCGTCCAGGTAGAGTAGAGAAACAAATTGATAGGCACTCATGTGTATAAGAAAGCTTTTAAAAATTATTTTTAAATCATTCTATTGGGGGCTGGTACAACTCTTCACAATCCATACATACATCCATTGTCAAGCACATGTGTACATTTGTTGCCATCCTCATTCTCAAAATATTTGCTTTCTACTTGAGCCCTTGGTATCAGCTCCTCATCCCCCCACCCCATGAACCCTTGATAATTTATAAATTATTATTATTTTGCCATGTCTTACACTGTCTGATGTCTCCCTTCACTCCTTTTCTGTTGTCCCCAGGGAGGAGGTTACACGTAGATCCTAGTCAT